ATAATAAATTTGTTCGGTAAATAAAATCCTGTTTCACAGTTGATTGATCACTGGGTGGTGATCAATGTTATGTGTGTCTAGTCCTTATGTAGTGCAGATTGAATGCTATCGACCATGTTGCAATGTGGCCACCAGTCTAGGTGACTCGACATTGCGGGCACTATATATTGAGATTAGATGGTGTTTGGAGGTAGTTGACTGGAAACCATGGACCCGGGTTTCGTGCTACTTGGCACTGGTCAGCAAGGTGTACCTGTAATCTTAAGGGAACTGGTAACGTCTCTGACTGTGAAGCTGAGTGACACGGGATCGAATCAGTAAGGGAGCACCCGGATCAATGGTTTCCTGTCAACTACCTCCAACCACCATCTAGAATCCAGTTTACGTAAACTTAATTTAGATTATTTCAAATGATTGAGTTTGAACAACGTAAATACCTCACGACACTTAATCTACGATTAACTGCTGTTTTTGTTGTTGGTAACTGATATCAGTTAAAGCTATGTGAATACTATGTTGAAATTATTCTTTATAAAAGATGGATAATATTCACCAAACTTCTGACTTTATTCTCTAGAAAAGATGCTTTACTTTTCAATCTTCAGGTAGTTTATTATAAACAATAACCGGAAAATGGAATTCGTATCACGCGGTACTTCCAAGACTGACAGATTTCATAGTTTACGTCACTGACTTAAGTTGGACATGTAAGCTATTGGATCCGGGCTAATAGGTTTGAAAGTTTCTGGTCCGATCTCTGTAGACGTCATGGAAGCACACTTATGAAAAGTCCAATACAATGACGGAACAGCTTTCAAACGCTTCCTAGATTTCAGTGGTTGTTGGACAAGCGATAATTCGTGATGAGATGAAATTCTGTTACCGTTATTTCGAGTGGATAAGAACCATAAATCCTGAAACTAATAAACGTTTCTTAATACCATAATCATAAAGAGTAATCTATAAACCGTAAGTCCTAGTTAGCACCCGGGTCAAAGGTTTCCTGTCGATTACCTCCAACCACCATCCAGAATCCAGTTTACGTAAGCTTAATTCAGATTCTTTCAAGTGATTGAGTTCGAACAATGTAACTAACCCACGACACAACACATTAGATTTAAGATTGATTCGAATTAGTTAGTCTGTGAAATATCGAAACTGTTGAAATTACCATACATACAGATATATTCCACTTCAGATGATTGATTTATTGAAGATATTCATGTTTTAATGAACACTCATACATTTCAAACAATGATAACATGCTCAAATTAGTCTTCTATGACATATGATTAAGATAGTGTTAGCTGTATGAATAGTGGATTTCATTATAATTTTATATGAACTTTTAACATTTTTTATGACATCCCTTCGTAGATCCAGTTCTAATTCTTTTCCATGATGCAACTCTAAAGAGATATTAGTAATTTCTATACAATAATTTTAAAGGTATTGAATATATATAATAGTGTGAAGAATAACATAAATGTTTCGAATATTTGGTGAGAAAATACACATCGATAATTGAAGGATTCGAATGAAAACATGCTGAAAATACGGTTTGTACCAAAACAGACAAAGGTTTCAACTTAGTATTAAAATACGTGTTCTATGACTGTTAAATTTGTCTTACATTGTTCCTACTCGCTACCTTTCCACTCTTTTGTATATTGTTTTATACTACTTATTTACATTCACTAAGCAGTTGTATTTCCAACAATTTTTACACATATGTTGTAACGCAAGTTGTACTGTAACATTCTGAAATGTTCACATTTATCTTTAACGTTTATTGTACTTATCATTGTATTTATCATTATAATCACTGTACCGGTATTCCACAGTTTTGGGGATTTGTTTAAACGCAACTGTTTCCATATTGTTTTACTCTTGGTTCGGGTTTCGGTTGTTCATAAACTGTTATCAAACTTAGACACAGCTATTAACTATCTTTTGTACTATCGTATGTTATAATTATTCCTTATGTTACTGTCAAAGGAAACCTTTTTATTTTCATACTTGAAGGATGCGTTCAAACGCTCCAGATACCTCACAAGTTGAGGTTTGTAACTACATTTTGTGTATTATTCAGTAAAGAACCGCTATTGTAGACAAATCGTTGTTCTGAAACTTCGGTTTCTCGCGTATCTCAATCGGGTGACCTAGAGGCTTCGATAGATTTAACAATGACACAACATTGAAAACAAAAATGAACAACATAGAATATTGCAAAACAAAGAATAATTCAGTGAATGATTGTCTACAATAGTTTTGTCATCAAACTCTTCAGTCATAATTATTAATATTCGGTGATAGAGATTGTTTAAGATCACTGATATCATGAACTGATTTAAGTTAGACTACAACAATTATTACTCCATAAATTCTGTGTTTTGTTTTGTTTACAAAGGTCAAAACAACACATATACATTAGTGAATTAGATAATGTCATTTCTTAAAATAATGAAACTTGACCTCTGTTACGTTATGAATAATTCGAAGTTGTATCATTTGTAAGTCAGGGAGGTCATTCATAATGAAGGTTAAACTGCTTCATTTTAAAGTTTCAAGTTATCATTAATGAAGTAAATCGTGTGAATAAAATGTATAGTAGGTGAATCTTGTCTCGTTCATTGAGATGACAATAATGATAATAATCTTTTGAGAGTATAATATGAAATAAAAGGTGTTCTGTGGACCTAATTATGATAAGAGACTTATATGAATTGGTATAGACGACTGTGTAGATTAAGAATGATGTAAACACAAAGGTTTATAATAACCAGTTTGGGTATCTGGTTATCTAGTCGTGAATTAAGTTGTACACAGTGGTTGAACATACGTCTTTTCCTTTTAGATACATTAGTTAGGTTTTATTGAGCTGATCTAGATGGCTTCAGTTCTGTAGAGGAGCCGTAAAATGATTGGAATGCGATGTAAGACAGTCACAGCTTCATCTGTTTTGATATGATAGTCACCATCTACTAAGCGAGAAATCATGGTACCGTTAATAATTTTCGTAGATCTTTTTCCTAACAGTGCCGGTACGTGTTTACAAACAGGCAAGGACAAGGCTCTCTGAGTGTAATCAGCTCCAGAGGAGCAGTTGAATTGGTATACACACATGGAACAGTCCATCAACGGTATAGTAACATATCCTTCATTCGTTGTGCAAGGACTGTCTTCGTCGAGAAGTATACGTTCAACTTGACGGCGTTTAATACCTCTCCCCCATTAAAATCTAGTTTTAGATAAAGTTTTCCTACTGACTGTGTCTGTGTTTGGTCTATTTCTTAGTCCTGATAGATATTTTTTGAGGAAATTACCAAGATAACCGTTATTCCGTAATGTATTCTTCAGTTTGTCTGTTTCATCATCTACACTACCCTCAGAACATTATAGTCTTATTCTGTGGTTGAGACATTTAAGCAAATTTATTTTGCACTGAAGAGTTGTAAAGCTATGAAAATGGATATACCGACCGGTCCATGTATTCTCTCTAAATAAATTTCTCTTTGTGTAACCTTTTGTGGTTCTACTAACTTGGAATCCTGAAGAGTAACTGAAACATGGAGGGCCAATAAACATATTGCACCGAGAATCGGATGATGAATAGCAACTGGAAAAAAAAACTGGAAAGGATTTCTCAGGACAAAGATCGATGGAGGATGTTTGCGCGTAGCCTATGCTCCTGAACGAATGTTAACTGACTTAAGTAAGTAAGTAAGTTTTATCTTTCTAGAGAGCAGAACATCAAGGAACAATACATAGCTATCATTTTCCTTTTACCTTACGAATTTAATAGCTGATTGAATATTATTGAAACTGTTTTCAGCTCTTTGTTGTTGATACTTTTATGACGGAAGTTTACTGTGTCATATATTTATCGACAGTAATAAGCTAGTTAATTCAGCATGTCTTTCAACGGTCCATACTACACTCAAACTAAACCATGAACGAGACAAAATTCTCCTATGTTATATCAGAGCGAAGATTAAATCACGAGTAACTTCTGAGTCATTAATCGACTAATATTATCTATACATTTTCATGGTATAACTATTCAATAATTAGGTTATGTATATTTATATTCCGCTTATTATAAGGTTCATTTTTACATATAATTTATTATTGTACGATTTACTGTTCGTAAACTATTTTCAGTTTATTGACTACTGTCTCCCACGTTTACAGCCACATTTGGCCAATATATTGTACAAATGTTATTTTCTATTTTGTGGTGCGTTATGGTCTGTTTGGTTGATATATAAGCCCAGTATGTCTGAAATAAATAATTCGATTCGATTCGCATATTGGGAGCTGGTATTGGTGTTCTGGACTCAAGTTGACGGGCTAGGAGGACATAGGACCTATAAAGACACTAAGCTGCTCATACAGATCGAACGTCATTGATTTGGCACAGTGCTAAAATTGTATTTTGAATGGTAGATAAATCACATGACAACTAGCCGGACATAAAGTCATAACATTGTACTATGCATTTTATTCATATGATTTACTTTATTCCTATTATATTAATGACAAGTTGAAACTTTAAAATAAATCATCTTAACCTTCATCATAAATGACCTCCCTGATTTACAAATGATACAATTTTGAATAACTCATGCCGTAGCGGATGTAAAATTTCACTATTTTTAACAAATGACATTATCTAATTCAATAATGTATGTTTTATTTTGACCTTTGTAAATATGGATATGAAACTGTAAAGCCTGATGATGAATTAATTATCAGAATGTGTTTTCTGGAGATTTTAGACATTTCAATAATTGAAATCATGAATCAATTGAAGCTAGATCACAATGGGAAACCTAGAAGCACTGGATGGCCTTTTCATCTTAGTGGAGAACTCGGGATTGTGGATGCGCACTGCTGGTGGTCTAGCTTCAACTGACTCATAATTTCAATCAGTGAGATGAATCAATTGACAACAATTGTACCCCTTTCATCTTAAACAGAGAAAAAAAAAACAAAGATTAGTTTCTAAATAATTAATGGATTCATTTTATTTCATTAGATTCATATCACATGTTCACACTCTATTTAATATTGTTAAGTAAAAGTTATTACAGTCATACTTGTAACTATGATGGTGGATTAAAGATGAATAGGTGCATCAAGATATACTTACTTACTACTTAATTACGCCTATAAGTAGTAAGTAAGTACATCATGATGTATCAAAGGGATGTTATCACATTTTACAGAATAACAATGTACAACAACATTACAGATTAATACAATCATCACAATATTGATTATGTTTTACAATGTTTTACACCATTTCATATAAGAATGCATACATTAAAATGTCAGGAAAAATAAACACTGCAAATAGAACAAACCAATCACTTATCAAGAATGAGAAAAATTATACAATCTGAGTATTAGTTAACAAGCCAAATGTTTGTTTGTTTTTCTAACACATGACAATTATGTAATTAGTTACATTTTGGTAAAAAAAAATGGAACAAGTAAACAAGTTTCCTTATCAGAACATCAACGATTCATTCACTAGAAATGTTTGTTAATTCAATTATATAATCCATTGTATGACATGAAAATAGTTAGAATAACAAATTTGATCATGAATATGGTAGGTGATCTGTTGACATTGGCAATACTTTTCTAAAATACAATTAGAAAAGATGTTGATATAAAAGTTGAATGAAAGTCAGTTCAATGAAGTTGAATTGTAATTTACGATTTACAAAAAAACAAAAAAAAGTCATGTTGTGTAACTATACAAACAACTCACAATTGATTTGAAATCACGTAAACATACAAATAACTAGTCATTTCATGTGATTTAAATAGAAAATAAATGTCATTTTTATTCATGAATAGGCTATAGCAACTAACCTACAACCAATTTCTATTATGGTTAATTTTGATTTAACCGTTTTTTATTATAATAAAGAGAGCAGGAACGAAGATTGGTGCAGAATAATATAAATTCATTGATAAAAACATATCCTGCAGCTAAATTGATTGTCTTGTCCAAAACGACATGTTCTTTGACACAATCGAAGGTCGACAGGTATCCCTTTCATTTTACCACCAACTGTGTATACAAATTTACATGTATCTGCCAAAGCAGTTACATTAGTAGAACAGAAAGAAGAGCCTACATCCGATTCAAAGAACATATTCCGAAGAGTTTGAGATCAAACGGACTAAAAGCATTTAGCAGCGCTGTCGCAAGACATCTCCTTGACACAGGACACGAAGTCGATATACTGAAGTCCTTCAAGGTGATCAACAAACAATCAAATTCAAACCTTTTGAAATTCACCGAAGCAATAGCAATCAAACGTTTAAAACCAGATCTTTGTATACAAAAAGAAACAGTAATAAATCTCTCTTAGCCCTGGTAACATTCACCCAATCCCCCTTTCACTATTATTTTTATTACGTCATTCTAAGTCTTTCTGAATTTTATTACATCATTCATAACTGACCAATTTCAATTCATATCTCTCTTTATTAACATTATTCTATTTTCAGTTATTTCATTACATAATAATCTAATGAGTTTTAATTCCATGATTTCTAATCACTATCTCAATTTTCTGGAACTTTCCCTCCCAAACTCTATATATTCAAAACAAAAACTTTTATGACCTCACTAACTCTAACGAAATCTTTGCTACATTACGTTGCATATATTCATCCTTCATCGCCCTGTGTTGTATAAGTATGTCAATATCTGTAATAATGTTGAATTTCAAATATTTTAGGTTGCAAGCAGCTGATGAGAACCTAACGAAATAAAATGAATTCATATTATTCTGCACCAATCTTTGTTCTTGCTCTATTTCGTTAGGTTCTCATCAGTTGCTTACAACCTAACTTACTTACTTTACTTACGCCTGTTACTCCTAATGGAGCATAGGCCACCGACCAGCATTATTTAACCCACTCTGTCTATTTGCTCGATATCGCGATAAAACGAAGAAAGGATGGTACATTTCAACGTTCAGTTTATAAAAAAGACAAATGGAATGGAAGTTATCTCAATTTCAATAGCTTTTGTTCAATGAGTTACAAAAGGGCACTGGTCAAAACATTGTTTCACAGAACAGAAAGAATATGTACTGCCGATACACTAGAAGAGGAAGTTATGAATGTTAAAAAAAAATGTTTAAAGAATAACGGATACCCACTGAAATTTATTGAGGAATATGGCAAACGTGAAGATAAAAAAACCCAAAGAAATTACAGCAAATAAAAAGCTTATTTTTATGCAACTTAAATTCTAAGATGATAATGTCACAGGATCAATCGATATGAAACTAAAACTGCATTGATAAGAACTTATCCTGCAGCAAAATTGATTGTAATCTCCAAAACAACATGTTCTTTAACACAATCAAATTCACATGTATCTGCCAAAGCAGTTACATTGGTAGAACAGAAAGGAGAGCCTACATCCGATTCAAAGAACATATTCCAAAAAGTTTAACATCAAGTGAATTGAAAACATTCAACAGTGCCATCGCTAAAACATCTCCTTGATACAGGACACGAAGTCGACACACTGAAGTCCTTCAAGGTGATTAATAAATAATCAAGCTCCAACCTTCTGAAATTTGCAGAAGCATTAGTAATCAAACGTCTCAAACCAGATCTATGTATACAAAAAGAGATAGTAATAAATCTTTCTTTGCCCTGGTAACAATACCCCTACTTATTTATTTATTGCGTCATTATTTCAACTCTTTCTGAAGTTTAAATTACATCATACATAACTGACTGATTTTAATTCATATTTTCTTTATTACCAATAATCTATTTTCATGAGTTTTAATCACTAGTTCAATGTTCTGGAACTTTCTGTTTCAAACTTTATTTATTCATGACAATATTTTATGACTTCATTAACTCTACCGGAATCTTTGCTACATCATGATACATATATTCATCTTTAATCACTCTGTTATGGATAAATATGTCAATATCTGTAATAATGTTGAATTTTAAATCTTTTTGGGTTGTAAGCAACTGATGAGAACCTAATGAAATAGAATGAATTCATATTATTATTATTCTGTATCAATCTTTGTTCTTGCTCTCTTTAAGATAATAAAGGGAACTATGTGTATGAAATTACTTAAAATCCACTTTTATTAACTTACTTAATAGACAATGTTAATTGAATAATAATAATTCGTATATTTCTCTACTACTACCATATCTAATTAGACGTGTACTCTTGATCATATGACAGACTCTAGACAAAATATTGATCGGTTAAATATTACCACCCAATGATTCATTCTCTTCCTCATTTATATTATATATGTACACAGATCTTATTATTAGTCTTTGCTTTGAACTTGTTGTACCCTTATGCAATTTGATTGTAAATTTACCTCTGTATTCTCTTGCACATAGACACATTCACTTGACTGCTTCAAATTCACTTGATGTGTTTATGGCTTTGTTATCCATGCTATCCACTAATAAACGGTAATTATTCTCCTTATTGATTTCTGATTTCAAACACTGCGAGATTTATATAATAGCGATTACAAAGGTGATTAACTAATGAAGCTATAACACTACAAGGCTATAGAAATTACTATTATTTTTTGTAACCATCTTATATAAATTTGGTACGGCCGACAAAATACATGATAATAATTATATAATATGAATTCATAATTCCCAGTAGAGACTCTTTTTATACTGAATAAAGAATAAGAATAATCAACAAATTGATTGATAGTAACTTGAGGGAACTGGTGCTCTCTGGCGGATTCGATATCGTGTCACCCAGCTTCACAGTCAGGGAGCACCAGTTTCCTCAAGATTACAGGTACACCTTGCTGACGCGTGCCAAATAGCACGAAACCAGAGTCCAGGGTTTCCTGTTGACTACCTCCAACCACCATATAAATTTCAATACATAGTGCCCGCAGTGTCGAGTCACCTAGACTGGTGGCCACATTGCAACATGATCGATAGCATTCAATCTGCACTAATAAGGACTAGACAAGCAAGACATTGATCACCACCCAGTGATCAATCAATTGTAATTATTCTTTGAATAGACAATTATCTGACACATCTGTCTTTTTATATTTTATTTTCATTCTTGTTACCATTTACTCAACACTAGATTTTTAATGAAAGTTTTTCGACTTTATTGATAACTCATTTAATTCAAATCCTGCGAAGCGAAGTCATGGATGCGCACTGCTGAGGAGTCTTATACTAGGACGAAACGGTCATCCAGTGCTTTCAGGTTTTCCATGATGGTCTAGCTTCAATCGACTCATGATTTCAACTATTGAAATCATTTAGTATTTGTTTTACTATAAATTAAACCATAAAATTGATTGCATATAAATTAGAAAATCATATCGTTTGAAAGAGGATTTTATTCAGTAAAATTGACTTTAATTTGGATGATAGATTTCTCTTATCATCCATAAGTAAGTTAGTGTTATATGCTTCGATAACATCATAATGCATCATAAGGAATTGTGTAGAATGGTATAAATATGATGATATAATAACTGTATAATTTGAAAAAAAAACTTACATGAATTACCAATGGGGCAACTCGACAAACACTACCATTATTAGGAGCAGGTTTCAACTTAAGTATAAGACAAACCAGTGAGTAAATATCAATCATTCTGATTGTTTCTTGTAATTCTGTTGTTTGCTTTTTAGATATCTGAGGTCCCATTGCCATTAGAAATGGAGACATATCTTTGTAATCTTGATCATAACCATGAGAACCTTTATTTTCTATCAACAGACAATTGAAAATAATGAGATTTATGGCCCAAGTTTAATATCTCAATGTGAAATTTAATATAACATTTAGAGTTTAAAAAGCAAGATATATTTCGGTATCACTGTAAAAAGATAAATACTTTAATACTTCTGCATATCTTTGAGATTATGAAGTCAAACAAATCTCTAACTTGCAGGTAGAATGACATATTACTATGATGGACGGTGGGTAACAGTGGAATCCAGGGACACGTCAGCTAGAAGTACCTGTATCTCAGATTTGATGTTCACTCTGGGACTCAAACCCAATACCGTTCACTTCAAACGCCATTGCGTAATCCATTCAGCTACTGAGTCCTGATAGCCACTTGCTTGTGCAATGGGATGAAGTTGAATTCATTTGTTGTTATTTTACTAGTATCACATTGCTATTTAGGACTGCAAATATGTATAGTGGTCAGTAGTGGAATCCAGGACGTGCGTTTCTTCCTATTTGGGACTCATCAGATTTGCTTACAAAGCTTGTGGTTTAAGGCTATATCGCACAGGATTCACATATGCCAACAAGCAACTGATCAATTGCAGTCATAAATAACAATGGGAAGATACAAATAAAACAACATCAAGTGAATTTAATATATGACTGTGTTTAAAACCTATCATTTGTAATTTAAAACTATTCAAATTCATTTATTTTACTTGAAAATCTGTTACACTTTAGATTAAACATGATGAACGAATGTTCTTACATTTCGATAAATAATATCCATAGACACCAAGATCTGAAGAAGTCATATTGTGGTGTGAGCTACTTATATTGACATAAGTAGTATATAACGTGCGCTAAAAGGATGTAATGTCTGGCAGCAGAAAATGGAGAAGATCAAGAAAAGAAGAGCAAGAACGCAATGGAATTTGTAAGAAATCGCATGGACAATGAAATGGGAGACAATGGATTAGTGTTCGCAACGGAAACAGTACAGTTTGATATGATACATTGATAATTTGCAAATTGACGATTGACTTTATGGTATTCAGATTTTATTGAGATAGTCTGTAATTTTCGTGCTAAATACATTCGATTGTCCCCACCTGTGTTCTTGTTCACTACAATATGACCTTTATTTAATATCTGGGGATTGTTAAGATTATAAACCGAACAAAATTGCACAGAATAAGTGAATGAAGTTATAGGACTTTTCTGCTTTCTTGTCGGTTGTATAAATCCGAATTATACCATCTTTACACATGTGATTTCTGTTACATAGTAATTTATGAAACAACAGCAGATATTCAATTTACTTACACCACTTCAAAATTCCAGAAATGTAACAAGCTTCAACTGACGAATATCAAATAGTTTTGTTCTCGGATAAACATAAATATTAATTTGAATATTCATAATGTCTTATAGTCTCGATAATATGTTATTCTCGGTCAGAATGAGGATTTGTCGAGAATGTAGTAATTTTAATAGTTGAATTCATGAGTCGACCCTCATTCTGATAATGATCATGTGCTGACGAGTGATCAGCTTCAAAGTGGATTTCTTTAAGTTTTAACGAGAAACCGTGAACGATGGAGTCTAATGCTTGTCGGCTGGATACACTTATGTACATCAGAAAATGGATGAAGGGTTGTGGAAAATCATGGGTCGATTGAAGTTAGACATTAATTTTGTCCCGATGAGAATCTATTTCTGGAGTAATATTGCACATATATTTTTATTGTATAATTGTTAAGTAGTTAAACTATGCATATTTATGTTTCTCTTATTATAAGCTTTATTTTGACCCATGCACCATTCTTAAGTTATACCCAGTTTATTAATTACAGTCTCCCACATTCACAGCCACTTTTGACTAAATCTTGTACAAATGTTATTTTCTATTTTATTTTACGATGTGGTCTGTTCGAAATACATGATTCATATCTCAGAGGCTGAGATTGATGTTCTGGATTTAACAGACAGGGCTAGGCAGGGAGAAGGACCGATAAAGACTGTAGACTGCTGTATGGGTTGATGCGTTATTGGTCTAGTCGATAATTCACTGTTCTCTAATTGGCGATATCATTACGTTATATATTAATAGAGCACAAGGTCGCAAGTTATGACAATTAACACTCTTGAATGTCCGGCTCGGCGGTCTAGGGATTATATGTTCACGCGTGAAACTGAGAGTCGTGAATTCGAGTACCACGTGTACAATCATAGATACGCACCACTCAGGAATATCATACTAGGAAGAAATGGCCGTCCAGTGCTTCCGGAATTCCCAATGGTGGCCTAATTTAGATCGATTCATCAATTCAACTATTAAAATCTACTACTTATCCAGATAAATTCACATCTGCTATAGTTTCAAACAATATACTTTGCTTTAAACATAGTCACTTTTTGATTATTAATTTGGATATATGATTATAAAACCTGGTGAGAAATTACTGTAAAGAATGTTCTTCGTTCATATATTGTTGTTTTTATTGGGATCAATCAAATCATAATTTTAGTTTATTTATGAAGTGATCAAAAGGAAACAGAATTCTAATATTTCAGTGTAATGAGAAGTTCAATATAAAAATGAAGTATCTAGTTTTGAATTACAAAACAAGATGTGTGTCGAAAACATAACAGAAAGATGATGACTTTGATGTACCTGTGCTTTCATCTTCATGGTATTAAAAGAAAAAGAAAACGTAAACTGTATACAGAACAACGTAATACCATGTATTAATTCCCTATTCATAGCTTAAAACACTTCATTTCAATGAAATTTTGTCTGAAAATCTGTTTCAATTTCGACTTCACATTACAATATTTTTTTTTATTTTTCTTCAGTCATGGCATAAATCCATGAAGTTATTGACAAGTGAATTGAGTCATGTTATTAGGTCTAGACTACTTGGTTGGGATCTGCGAGACGGTAGGAAACGATGGTTAGAGACATTGAATGACATGGCTCAAAATCGTTTGCAGTGACGCAGGTGCATTCACTCTTTGTGTTCTCCCAAATTCTAATCATCTTATTTCTTTATGTACCTTTTTTCTTCTCTTTCCAAATTTATTTCACTGGATTATACCCCTTGAGTAACATCTTCAAACCATAATGTTTCTAATTACTCCTCATACTCTTACTGCCTCTACCAATACGGGATTTAAATCGATAACTTCACCTCCATGCTAATGTGGTATGGCAACTCGTACAAATTCTATGTTGTTACTGACTGACTGACTTCTTCTTCAGTAGTATCGATAGTTTTATAGAGGCCAAAATCAATGAAAAGAATACATACTTTATGAATTATACATACCATCTTGTCATACTTTCAGAACTTGGTGAAATTTAATACAGTTTTACAGGATAGATCTATTCAAGAATTAGATTTTTGTAACTGACTATCATTTAGTCTAGATTGTAGCAAAACAAACTTAAACTACTCACTAACTATCACCTTATAATCAATGAAACTTTGTAAAACATTAATTATGATCATCAGTAGTTATAGGCAGACATCCTTTACACTGCATAACTACTTTCTCTACTTATAAATATACTCTATTTTTGACTGTGTTTTTAATCAAAGCTACTCTTTGTCTTGATTCCGTTGCAAACTACTATATCAATCTCGTAAACTTAAGTTATTTCAAATATTTATTTATAAATGCTCACTTACTCAATGTTACCCCAGAATTTCTGTCAGCAATAATCGTCCATCCAATGTCTGCATATACAACAACAGGACCAACTCGATCACTTGAACCATAAAATAAACGTGTTGGTAGTTCCTCCTTCAAATAAACATTTAATCTGAAGTGTCGGTCTTTCAATTTGTTGTATAATGATATCGCAGTATGTCCTAGACTTTGAAAAACGTTAGTGGTAAGACTTACCTTGTCTTGGCCAAAGTGTCCAGATTTCCGCTGACTTCTTAGGAGCAGATGTATACTCATTCGGGTTTATGTAATCATGAAGATATATAACTCGGTTTGAACTGACGTTCGTCATTCCATGATCACTTGTTAAAATCAGATTGAGACAGCAACTAAGTGATGGTCGGTTTTCAATCGATGTTAAGAGATAATCTAGTCCATGATTTATCTCCTCAATAGCTTTGAAAACCTCGTCACTTGCCGCTCCATAAATATGTCCTGCTTTATCAGGTTGATGATAATACATAAGACCGAGGTTAATATTTTCATGTTCAAACCAACCCATCAAAATATCAATTCGCTGATTGAATGTAATGTTTTCATTGTAGGGTGCTAGATAATGAGTTGGTCTCTGGCCTTTGATTTTCGCCTCACTTCCAATCCAGAAAGCCACTCCACTTTTATGACCATCAAACTGGTTCGTTACCCAAATCGGTTCAGCTCCAACATCATAGAATCTAGAATCTGATGCTGTAGACTGATTTTTTGATGAGAATGTTGCATTAATAGTTGGATCATAAAACACATTATCTACTATTCCATGACTTTCAGGATGCATGCCTGTTACCATTGAAAAATGTGATGGGAATGTTAAAGTAGGAAATTCATTTTGTATACGTTTTACATAAATTCCTCGATTTTTAATCTTTTCAAATGCTGACATGTTTACACTTCTTTTCTCAGCCATATCAAAGTAATCATAACGAAATCCATCAAGAGAAAGAAGTATTACTTTGGGAACATGATAATGTATAGTACGACCAGAAGCATAGATTCTTTCAATATAAAGAAAGAAACAAATCAATAATAGGGAGATAAGTTTTTGCATAGTTTCAATAAAATACGTATAAATACATAAATAAATGTCTTAATTTTGCATTTGTATTCAAATATTATAGTTTGTTGATATATATATATTACATTAACTTATGCCAGTTAACCAATCACGTACAATGTTCACATGCAATTATTTCACTTCTAAAATTACACTTTCAAAGTAGATTAAATCAATAACGTTCAAACATTCATTTGATCTAAAATCTCAATTCTAATAATGTCAACTTAATATTCTTTATGAAGAAATGTTGATAAGTGGAACAGTTGATCTGATCAAATAACGGAACAATATCTTGATAAACATGATTTTGATTCTTTCAGTTTGGTTATAAATGTTTCCAAGTCCAATCATTTCATTTCATGAGATTTAGGGTTTAACTGAAGTTTGATGCAATAGAACATCGTAATCGCAAACATTTTCACTGATACAACAACACATAAAACATATGAATGTAGACAGTACATACAGATGAAATCAAATACAATATCTGACCGATGTATTATTTCACAGATCAACAATCCTATTTCTAGTGTAAGTGTTGTGGAGATTATTTAGTTCTTGATTGAGATGATCAACCGATTGATGTTAGACCACCGTTGGAAACCTAGAAGCACTGGAGGGCCGTTTCATCTTACTGTGAGACTCCTCAGCAGTGCGCATCCACGATCCTGCTCGCGGGACTCGAACCCAGGGCCTTCAGTCTCTCACGCGAACGCCTAACCTATTTGACCACTGATCCGGCATCCAAAGATGATGATGCGCACTGCTGAGGAGTCCCACAATAAGATGAAACGACCGTCCAGTGCTTCCAAGTTACTAAAGGTGGTCTAACATCAATCGGTTCATCATCTTAATAAAGAATCATATTTCTAACTGATTCCCATTCCGAATAATCAAATCAAACGATCTTTCAGAAAAACACTTAAACTACAGTGATGAAATGTGTATTTCACAGAATTTCATTCACATTATTCTTACAACCTTCAGGACACTAGTCATTTATCTGTCTCTATTATCAGGAACATATCAACGTCTTTATATCCTTCGTCATTTAATGTGATGTTTTCAACGTCAAATCTTTCATGAGAATGTTAATGTTTTTTCATTTTATTTAGTCGGGGGAAAATAATTGTGAATCGTAAGAAATGAGTGTATTTAACAGTTAGTCAACATGAGAATACAGTGGTCACCATAACCTTTCATCATACTTAGTGTCCTCATAGATCTCACTGAATTCTTATATCCACTTTAATGGAACCATTTTATTTGGAATACCTATCAAAACACAATCGTTCTACTCAGAATTCAGTTGATGAAACTTTCTTCACTTCAGTATCTATCCGTACCAATATCCTCTATAATAAACAAAAGATAACGTTAATGAGATATCTGTCCTATTTGACTTCAAGTATATATTGTAGTTAAATCCCTTTAATATCAACGCGAAAACCCAACTCAGTGAATGATGGATGATTCATCATGTACAAATGAAAAAGAGGTCTAATTACAAAGATACATACCATTATATACACACATATAAATGAAAGAATGACCGGAAATATCTGAATAATTTATCTGTCAATTTGTTGGAATAAAACGCCTATGAGTGTTTTATAACAGAGAAGCTTCTACAAATAACATTTCTTGCGTTTACATTATTAAGAAAATGTTACGATAAGAACAGTTTTTTGTTTCACATGGTGTAGAACACGGTCATATGTCAATGTTTACCGAGTTATGTAAACGACATATCCCACAGATAAACATAATAATAGGTTCATCAATATTTTAAGCACTGTCTTCTGAATACCTAGAGAGATGAACTGAAAAAGCCTATTTTATGAAACTAAATCTAATCAAAATCTTTGAACAATAGTCCTTGTTGAACTAGTGTTTTATTTTCATGTTAGAAGAAATGAGGATTTCTTAAGTAGCTAGGATATTCAAAATGTATAGTTCTTATACCGTCCAATGTACTCACTGTGAGTCACTGGCTTCATATACTCAACTAGAAAAGCTATTTAGATTATTTTTCAATCACATTTTCGCAGAAGTTTTAATAACTAATCATTCTTCTTAAAACTAACATAAATCAGAGTTACGCTGAATATATATAACAATCTGCAATGCATTGTAAGCAATCGTTAGATCTTTCAGAAGGAACGGGTTCTTGAATTATATTGTAATCCATATGTGTAAGCTGATAGAAAGTTTTAATTATCTAGTCCGATTATTGATTAATTCACTCTTTCACTATAGAACTGATGATCTTCTATTCAACTGATGACTCACTGACCAATAAACAATGACCGGCATTTCAACACCTATCGATCATCGAACTACTTTCAACTAAGTATTCAGTCACAAGAAGAAATTAGCAAGCAAATAAGATCTGTATGATATACTCGTCTCTAATGACTGGACTTGTACAATAAAGAACAGTAATTTCCTGATCACACACAACCATAATTAAAAATGCACATTTTAATCATAACTGTACCATTAAGTTAAAGAGAACTAAGTAACTGGTATATAACTAACTAACTATTTATAACTTAGCGAAGGTAAAAAGTATAACAATAGTTTTTGTAGGCTTACATTTCGAAGTGTGATGTGTGCTACTTATAATGACATAAGTAGTATATGATGTTAGTCGTGAACAAAAGGTCTGGCATCAGAGAGACAAGAGGATCGAACAGTAAAGAATAGAAACAGGATGAAATTTGTATAAAGATACAAAAACAATGAAGTTTTAGTAATTTTGGAGACAATTGGTGGACATTTTGCAAATTAAGCATTTACTTTATGATTGTTAGATTTTATTAACAAGTCCTGTAATTTTGTATTGAACGCATTAGATTGTCCCCACTGGTATTCTCGTTTACTACAGAAGAATATAAGGCTACTATAATCCTTGTGTCTAATGTACAAAAAAGTGGTCACTATAGCTTTAAATTTGTCTATTCTTTTCGTACTCGGCCTCATTTTCACAGTAATCAAAACTATTCTGATAAAGATAACGCTAATTCTACGTCACTAACATACTGTCAATCATATGATTAGTAAGTTGAATTCACTATTCATTTTTTTTCGAGTTAATATGAATGATGCCTGTGTTTTACATTATGACTTCACACAGATTATAAGTATTCACTACATAATGTACCAATAACATAAATTGATCAAAATATAATATTTTTATAAATTTTCTGACTTCATTTATTAATGGTAGATTCAATCAGCTCATCGAATTCTCAGTTGTTCTGACAGATTCACATGACATAACATTTGTTATTGATGTGTTGTATTTCACATCATTTCAGTAGATTATCAGTAGAAAATCACTTAGTAACTATTTTCAATAGACTCAAAATCATATGCTATAAATGAATCAAATAGTATACATTAAATAATGTTACTAATGGAATGTTCCACAATTAATGACATTGATTTGTGCCAAATTGATTTACTTATCAGAAACACTATGGATACTGGTTATCAATGACAATGTACTAACTAAATCAATCATTTGATTTACAAAATGATTTTAAAAAATGTATACGGTGTCAAGGTAGTTTATGAGTCAATGTTAACAATGAAAAAGATTATATCATAAGTGAAAAGTACAAGTTGATGATGATTTGATGACAGGTGTACTAGTTTTGATATGAATAATAAAGGCTTAAATCAATGTTACATATCATTATGTCAGTTAATTGTATAATCTATTAGGTACAACTTTTCACTGTACAAGTTACAAAAATGTACAATTGGAGACATTGTGATAACTGTCAATATGCATTGAAAAGAATGAACATTATTCAGAGGTTGATACATGAATTACTAACATCTAACTGGTGATCACTCAATATTTATCGTCAATATCGATCAAGAAATAAGAGACGGAAACTCGCTGAAATACTTTGAACTTTTCTTAATACCATAACCATTAAGAGTTTTCTATAAACCGTAAGTCCTAGTTAGCTGACAAATATGTAAATATGCTGTTGACATTACGTGACAAAAATTGATAAGCCCAATTGACGAGCACAATAATCTATTCATCACATGACTACTTACATAGACAAGTATATTTTTTGTCATAATTTTAAACTGCTCAACTACAAAGAATGTACAGGTAAAAACAATTAACGATTTTAATGGATTAGTAAAATAACACAATTGACAATCTTCCATTTATTTCTGACACCATTTTTCCGGCGACACTAAACAACTCTTTTCTACTAAGAATTACTGTTTGGAAAAGAACCCAATCACATAAATATTATTTGCTACGCTACTTTCTGAGTAAAATGAAGTTGGTATTATTTATTTTTAAAGTCAACATTTTGATCAAAACTCGGATGGAACAGTCAGACAGAATTATTTTTTTTATTGCAATAGTTGAGATCATGAATGAATCGAAGCTAGAGGAGCACCATGAAAAACCTGTTAATGTCTAACTTCAACTAATCCACGAAATTTTTATAAATCTCCATTGATTATATTGCTCAATCACTAAGGCTTAATTAGAATTCATCAATGTTGGTTCAGTTGACCTTTCCAATAGAAATGATATCGTTCTACTAGTAAACTGGTAGTACTACATTCACCTATCGTAACTATATGACAAAACACTGAAACATTCTGAATAAGTTTTGCATGTACTATTGTTAGACAGATGAGTGTTTATTAGATGACATTTCCAATACGAAATCGTTTACTTAAACCGTATATTTGATAAAGCTTATAAAGCGTTTACGAATACGTGGACAATAATCACATAATGATTACCAATCTTAAATGAATTTTGATGGTTTCATCACTTGACCTTTGTCATGGAGTTAAGGAATTGAAACAAAATAATTCAAATCAAATTGTGGGTGGCCCTGAAAAGGGCCTTTACTCGTTCTCTTAACAGTTCCGAATTTCATGAACAAAAAAGTTGCTATGACTCCGTTATAGCGTCGCACACGGGACAATGGATTCCATAGACGTGTGGTGATGGGTCGTAGGCAAAAAATAAATGAAGCATTGCTTCGCATGGACA